CTGTAGTTTACTTAAAGTCCTCCTTACCGTGTCTGTTGTGAAAGCCACCGTGCTAATTGCATTGTTTGATTGGACAGTTGGGTGGTAAACCCTTCCACCAAAGGCCGGTTCCACGGCATAAACAGACGCGAAGAGATCGATTAGCAGGTTCGCCTTGTCTGAATTATCGGTCAACGTACTTTTTTGGTAAACTTTTTGGCAGGAAATGCCGTCCTGGTTGCGTTTCGTCTTATTCGCGTACCCGAGAATCTTTTTGGTATTTCGCGGGATATTTCTGAGTATTTTTGTCTCAGATTCCGTTCGTTTTCTCCTTAGCAGATTCCGACATGTATTTCTCTGCTTTTTAGCACCAGTGACATTCTCTGGCGTTCTTTTTCCAAAGTCATCTTTTCAATTTAGGGTTCTTCTTTATTTCTGCCGTCACTCAATCTAGTCGTGAAGTGCACGGTTTCCTCCTAAGTGGGCAATAGCTCTCTATCAAGTGAAGCATTACGTTCTTGAAGAAGAGCCAATCGCTTTCTGGGTCAGGTGCTTGTGCAGCATTCCAGTTCAACTTCTGTAGCAGATTTTTCCTTCGGGAATAATCTCCTTTCCATTTATTTCTTTCCACAGCAGCCCAAATTTCGGGTGCGAAAAAATGGTTCTACTCCCAAACAAGAACGCAGTAGTCATTTCGGCCAAGGGGCGAGTGCGAGTCCAATTCAAGAATGTTACTATCATCCGTAGTGATGATCAGGTCCAAACAACTTGACTGCTGTCCATCTCGGAATCGAGTGTCCATTTTAACGTGCTAAGTACGTAACTCATCAGTGACCGATTGCGTAAATTTCTGTTCGAAGGAGTTTTCTGATTGCGTGAAATGTATCAAATTCCATTCGATGTTTGGACAGTTGAAATCACCAAGTAGCATTATGTGTTTGCACTGACAAATTTAGTTTATCTCGGTGATAAGTGCATCGCCGCATCCGTCCGCTGTCCTGGCGGTCTGTAAACCAGGACCATATGGAGGCTTGGATGGTCTGTCACTTTCAAGTAAGAATTGAGTATTTCACAACCGCTGTTCCTACATGACGAAGGCTCAGCTCTGACGTGGTTGATGCCATCTCGTATAAATATCGTAATCCCCCCAGTCCTTCGTCCATTTCGTTTCATTCGAAGAAGCTGAAATCCATCCGGCGCAACTTTCGCGTCTTTCATCTGCACATTTAACCATGTTTCTGTTAAAGTGATCAAGTCGGATTGGAAATGGGCCACGGTGAGTTTTATTTCACTCAATTTGTGGAATAAACTCTGCAAGTTTGCGTACATCATTTTTATTATATTTGGTTGTTTAGATCTCCGGAAATTGTTTGCTAAAGCTTTGGACTAACAGTTACTAGTGGATATTTTACATGACGTGCCAAGTCCACCAATCGATTTTGACTTTGCTGGCGACTGTTGGAACTGTACACCAGTGCTTTTGCCGTCAATGTCACGGGATGACTCCACAAAAAGAACGTTCAACTATTTCAACTTGGTTGTCTGCAATTACCAGATTCACTCCACTTTCGCTCTGTCATTTCCCCAGTGCAGCTACCAGCGCCCTCATTTTTATTCGTTGGACTGGATGATAGCTCGGTTGAAAAAACACTCGACGATGGTTGTTTCGTATCCTGGACTTTCGCGACAAGCTGAAATCTGCTTGCTGTTTGTTTCCCTGTACGACTTTAAGCTGTCTCTGTCGCATTCCCGGTGCGTTATTTCTAACTAAAGACCCCAAATGGAAGATCTTTTGGATTTCGACGACCTCACTGGGATCTTGGGTGTCATTCAGTAAATTTTGGAATGGCGGCGGATCGTGTTTCGTCTTGTCTTTTTGGGTGTCACCAGGAGCTTCAGGAACTGCTTGCACTACCACAGAACGCGATCTCTATGGACAAGAACTGATGGTTGTATCCTGATGTCTTTTGCTGGCGGTAGACTGAGTCTCAGACTCTGGAACTGCCTTTATGGCTGTATCCAGGTTTGTTGCTAAGTTGCTCACGTCCGTGCTGCAACGTCTTTATTTGGCTGCCTCACATGACTTCTTGCATTAGAGCTAGCTACACATGTGAAGGACGAGTTGCTAGCTCTTCTTTGTGGCGTAGGTGGGTCCATGCGATTGCTGCCTACCGTTTTTGGGTTGTCGATCGTTGCTTTATTTTGGTGCAGACGGGCCCTCTATGATCCAGATTCGCCAACCTTAGGGGAATGCGAGGAGCAGTTCCATCACCGTCTGCCTCTTTTTTATTTCTCTTCATTTCGATTGAGCCGGAAGATTTGTCCAACGACTTCGTTCGTTGCCTCCTGTTTCACTGAGCGTGACGTCTACAGCCTTTTTCTGTTTTTTTTTGAGATTCCTATGGTCCGGCTCAATGATGTTTTTCGTGGCTTTCATATCGTGCTCAGGGGTTTAATTTTGCTATACTTGAGGAGTGATGGTATTATTTCAGTGAGGAGATCGACGTCTACTTCTATTTTCGAGACTCTGTTGGTGAGTCCTCGGTGTCCATCACAGCGTATCGACATTTGACTATCTTATTTATTTCTAGCCGATCTCAGTATTGTACTGCGTTCTTCAGGATTGGTGGTCGGTGACCTCTCATGCTCAGCCGAGAGCGAGTCAAGTATTTCCGGTAAAATTTTATCACAGGAAGTAGAAAACGGCTTACAAATAACCGATAGGTCGCCTTTTTCTCAGTACATATTATTTTCTTGGGAACTTGGCTGTCCGGGCGTGGTCTAGTGGTAATAAAATCTACAGACAAATTTGAACCGATTAGAGCCATGGTCAGGTCACAGGCTCCCCTCATTCAATGTTGTCAAAGGCGACATTCTGTGAATTGGCAGAACCAGCTCCGCGCACCGGAGGAAGTACTATCTAAATCACACACTGCTACCAGAGGTAGAGCTTCAGAAGGCTCTGGATGTGTGGATAACTTTCTCACCAAAGCCATCATTCCACTGCTTCAAAGTAACCAAATAAGCGATTTGCATCTTATATCTCATCAAGTGGGCTTGTGCGGAGTTCGACAAACAGTGCTTTAACGAGGTTTTCGGGATGTTCTTGCGGCCACAGCTGGAATTTGTCCTTGACGCCCGGAGACCGTGGTCATGTACAGATCGCGTCATCCTCTAAAAAGTTTAATAACGGGCAACCAAGTTTGTCAGAGGTCAAAAACCGAACTTACGAAAGTCGACTGTCTAGTCTTGACCTCTGTCCCCTGGACTACAGGCAGTTGCGCGGGAACTTAATTTAAACGTTTCGCATGCTGCGAGGTCGGGATTGCTGCCTCGCGTCGAGCGACCTTTTTGAGTCGGCCATCACTACTGCTTGAGAGAACATCCTCCAAAACTACGTGTGATTAGGGCAAGAGTGGACGCAAGGAAAGTCACCTTCATCCACAGGATGATTATGGCATGAGACGATCTGTCTGTGGACACATTTAAGAAGAAGAAGATTGTACATTAGAGGGAAATGTACCACCACGTCATCACAAACCAGCAAAATTTCCCCCTTGTACCACCCCATACGTTATACGCTACAAAGTATGCTACCCACTATATTTAAGCAACATTATCACGTAACACTTTCGTTAAATGCCATCGTCGGACGTCCACATGCGAACTAATGAATCCTGACAGAAGCATACGCGTTCCTTTCTATATTATTTGGTCCATTTCAGCACCGCGCGGTGATTATTTTACAACCTTGGCACAGTGTGCATGCACTGATACATTCATACAAGTACTGCATACTACAGCTATGTATATATATTCCTGTTTTGTGACGTTATTGTGACCAATAGGGAGTTCAAAGGCGCTCACCTACCCTTCCCATAATAAACCGGATTGAACTGAACTGATGGCATCCCCTCTTATTTAGCCGAGTTATCCAGACATATAACTTCATAAAGCGGCTCCATAAGATAGTCAAAGACGACAGAATACGGAATGTGTAGGAGGTTAACCGGTCTATCGCGAGTGGACGTAAAAAAAGGCGGCCGTAAGAACGCAGCGCGATGATAAGTTGATGTTGAAAGATGTGTCAAATTTTTCCACGGTCGCAGTTTTAGGTCAGTATATTTTTAAGGGTAATAGTCAATGACTTCTAGAACCCTACTGAAAACGGTACATGCAGTTTTTCACTTTAAATAAACATGGTACTAAAGTGCTTTCAGTAATATATACACTTAACATAATATTTCCTTAAGGACGCAGAACCGAAACTCGAGAACATTCAGTTGTAGATGATAACGCCAAAATGAAATGACAATCATCCGCATTAGCGGTAGGTGTATGCCAGGCGTTGGTTTGGCAGAACAGAGCTGTTCTGTCCAGACAAGCGGTATTTTTCATGGAAATCTACATCTGGTTTTGCTTACATGTCTCCGTGGAATCCGCCATTATCACGTTCTCGGGAAGCCCGTTCCAGGTGCGGACGAATCGCTGTGAAAAAGGGTATCGGCAAACGTCCCGGAAGCATTGGGATACTCTAATTTTTAGAGAGTTCGCACGCAGGCTTGGTTTTGTGCCAGGGTGAAGAAATCGTCGAGGTTTAGGGCCCAGTCCCGGTTCCTCAATATCCGATACGCCTGCATGAGATCTCCTCGGATCTGCCTGTACTCAAAAGGAAATATTTGAAGTTCACTAAGTCTGCTGTTGTAAGGTAAAGTCTTGAGGCCTTTCGCAATTTTCGTCGCCCTCATCTAAACTCTTTCTAGAAAACTTACAGTCTTTATTAGCCACGGGCGTCACGCTTGGATTCCATATTCCAGATGCCAACGATTGACCGGCCCGTATACTTTTCCAAATAACTGTTTGTCTATACTTATGAAAGTTCGTTTAATTGCAAAGAGAACACTGATTGCCATTTTGGCCGCCGTTACGCATTGAGAAGAAAGCATAAGAGACGATAGAATGTTGATCCCAAGATCTTTTCGTCTGGTCACAATTCAAAAGCACCTTCCGCCAAGCAGGTAATGATGATTCTCTCCATCGGTTCTGCCATTCGTTTTGAGTCGCAGCGCGACGCACTTCTCAAGGTTAAACTTCGGCGGGTCTTTAATAAAAATAATTCAATTAAATTAAATTTGTCAGACCATTCGCATAGGCAGTTCAGTCCCTCTTGCAGGGCCCGTTCATCATTCTCCCCGTTGATCGCTCGCCATAACTTGATGTCATCGGCAAACATGACAGTCCAGTCCAGTCCAGTCCAGTCCAGTCCATTCATAAATTCATTCATGGACACGTCAAAACAAAACGCCTTTTCATGTCACTGCAATACTCCCCGTCTCAGTAGAAAAGAGCTCGAATGTGAAAAGTGGGTACAAATTTGATAATGATTAGGCATACTGTACAAGTTGGTAACAATCAGGATACGGGCATGACGACTATTGCGCATAGGGGGTGGAATTGAAAGGGGAGGGAAATGAGCTGGGTTAGCAGGTTGAAGCAGAGACGGGGAAATCTGAGAAGACGTTGTGGCAGATGAGAGAGGCCGATCTGTAAGGGCAAGCGAAATAGGGTTATTATAAGGCGCTTTCAACAGATCGATCGATAGCACTTCGGTGTGATCACTACGGACGATTATAAAATGCTTGTCCGTACGCGTAGGGCTCAAAATAGTTCGTCGTAGGGTCGTTGTGGTGGCTTACGAACACTATCTACACGGACAAATACGAAAGAAAACGTTAGCAAATTAGGATCAGTATATGACTTGCTTGCTGGAACGCGCGGAGGCATGGCCGGAAAATTTACCACTGCTTGGTGCTACCGTTAGACATAATCGGTAGCATCCAGTTCGATTAAGCTTTGGGGTGGCCTGAAAAAGTTCCAGGGAATCCATAGGGTAGTCCCGTAAACAACTTCGGCAGCGGGGCACTCTAGGTCGGGTTTTAGTGTGGTGCAGATGCCGAGCATGACCAAAAAGAAATGCTCACTCCAAAGAGTGGGGTTATCAAATGCCCGGAGCGAGGTTTTAGATGACAGTGGAAACGCTCAACTAGAATGTTGGATGAGAGATGGCAAGCTGTTGTACGTATGCGAGAGCACCAGAGGAGGCCTGTAAGGGCCTCAAAATGTTTAAATCCAGATAGCTGGCCTCGGTCGATGATAGTAGTAGTCGGGACACCATAATGGGAAATCCAATGTTTTTAAAAGGCAGAAGAAACAGTTTCTGCAGGGACGTTTAGAATCGAAGATGCGATGGGCCACCGCGTAAATCATTCAGTAGCAGTGGACAAATGGTTGCAACCTGAAGAAACTCTACCAACAAGTGAATGCAGACATCGATTCGCATGGAGCACTGGTTTTTTGTAGTTGCAAAGTCACAGAGTCTGCTTGTTGGTGTAACATATGTTTGTAAGGCCGATATTTAAATGTCTTAGGTGAAAGTTGAATGTGGAGTGTACTGAATCCATACGCGCCCGCCATTTGCTGAGAAGTCACACGCAGACAGTTAAAAGCGTAAGTCTGCCTTCATCCTGCTAAATATTATCGGAAGAAATCTGGGTTTTAGAAAAAAGGTATCAAGAGAATCCTACAGATCTTAAGCAAAAATAAGGCAATGGAACCGGAGTCTTCACAGTGTCCAAGCAAACCCTCTGCTTCAGTGGTAGTAACCTTTGTTTTCTTTGTTTTGCGCCATTCATCCCTAAGCAAATTCGCCGTGTCATCCCTGATATCATATGGCCCCCTTATAGGCGGGGTCGGCAGGATGGCTAGACGGGGCCACATCCTCTTCAGTTCGGAGCATAGGAAGTATTCAGATGCCACGCGTTTTTATGCATCTTTAAAGATTCACAAAATAGGTCTATTTCACGTTGTCCTATTTTACTGTAACCACTCCCCCTAAAGATTATACTGGAATCCCAGCTAACCATATGTCTGAGGAATAAACCAGATGGGTGCTAAACTGCATCCAACTAGCTGCATTAGTCTAAAGCTCAAACTTAAGCGAAGTGACTCGTGATCATCTGCATGAATTCCCTGATGGGTAAAAACTTGAAAGCCTCCATCAGCACAGGGAATCTAAAACAGATTAATAGTAAAGACACTATATGAGCGGCATTTTTAAGCTGTTGAAGTGCATTCGATAAACCTAACCATCAATTACCTCTGTGTGGATGACTCGTGAACCCCCTGATCTCGATTTTAATGGACTGATATGTAAGCGGTAAAAGCAACAGATTACCCCGTGAAGTCTACCGTTAGTGAGCCGAGGGCTCCGTTTCCATAGCTCAGAACGGTATTCATCCGATTGGGTTCAAACTCGGTTCACAGTGACTTTCCTGTAGGTGTGTATCTCTTTTACTCACGAGTGGTAACCCATGGAGGTCACCACACTCATATTGCTGACTGGTCTTTTACTGTCGAAATAGTCGCCCATCATTGGCGTAACTTTGCGCCTCTCTCGTTCCACTCATATCGCATTTGCGTATATACGTTTCATGAAACGTCTGCGGACTTTTTCTAAGACATCCTCAGCTTGATGAACGATGCGGTACGCTCTGCAAGGCCGACCATGCGCCATTCTGAACAGCGTTGATCACAGGCTGTGTAAACGTTTTGTAGATGATCCTTATGTATCTGTCAGCCACTGCACCTGTCTACTGGCCGGCTCGGACAGTGACTGGGGCCTGGGAATGGGGAGGGGGAATGAGGTGGACGACTCAGCACATCTTCCTCACTACAAACAATCTGACGCGCATGAAGCTATCACGTTGCGCTAAAAGCCGTAGTTTGGAAGATTGTCAACTGACGGGATAACTTGAACCTCGCAGTCGGCCCAGTGTTTTGTGTTGTATAGAGTGGCCGGCTGGTGGTCTAAGAGTCAGGTTGCAATGGCTCCTTCTTAATGTGGCATTTATGGCACTCCCACTCCGTTTGATCGGAGCCGGGTGTGACGGCACGTCTATATGCGGATTCGGTCGTGCCAGCTCCCTGTTGTTGTTGTTGGTTAAGAAAACCTGGTCATTTGCTGCGTGGCCCGGGGTGCGTGGAGTGGACCGCCAAACTGCAGGCTCGACCGCGCTATCCACCTGCGCCCTCCCCCGCCTCCGGCCTTCATGACTATGTCTCGACACCGGATCCAGGTGGTGGAGGAGGAGAGAGTGCGGTAGATGCGGTGAAAGTCTACTATCACTATGAACTAGTTCACGCGCAAGTCACCGTCCTTGGTCACGACGTTGTGGGGCACACGGTGGACTTCGTCGGAAACGACGGTCGAGCTGTCACTGTTTCCTAGTGAAGTGGGTAATGTTCTATTGTTCGGGAACCCCTTGGTATGTAGGCCCCTACCGGATTTTCCTTGTCGATGACGCTGCAACCCAGTAACCCCTGTCCGCAGACCACTAGACGCTCCAGGACTGACCTTTTCCAGACTGTCGCAGATAGCCTCGACTATAGACAGCCTCTTCCCCCAACCCCGACGCCTTATGCGGTCAACGCCAACCTACAACGAAATTGACCGGCGCCTATGCCGGCGCTCGCTACAAGTTACCTCTTAGGCCCCTACCATATGTCATACCGTCACCATGAACCCGAAAACGTCAAAAAAGTATATCGTGGGCGCCAAGAACACCGAACTGTTCCAGGTTTATTAAGAAACAGCAACCCTTCTGCAGAAAGCACGTGGATAAGAAGCTATGGAGATATTTAAGTTTCGGCCCTCTTTTTCTCAGGTCGTCTCAGTTGCCAACCTGGTCCGATTACGTTCCCTCCCGTAGCCTGCATGATTGCACCCCATTATCTCACTCATCTAATTTTACACTTATTCAAGACCCAGCTCTTGTATCCAAGCCCCTGTTCGGTCTGGTCTGGACCTGGTCGGCCGGATTAGATATGCATTTTTGTGGCCTTCTATTTCAGAATATAAACAACTTCGTGCGTCTTGGGGGTTTATTCGAAATAACAAAGACGTGGAGAATATCGCGCCCAAAACTTGCCTTTGCGTCGAGATGCGCCTAACACCTTTCCTATTTTCCGCTTTGTAGCCTTCCTGACTGCTGTATGTTGTGCTTGAGCTTTTGCCTTTGTACGTATGCGTAGTTTTTCTTTTCAAAATTTCAAAATCGTCATGGAGTAATCCATTTCTTATCTTACGGTCTGCTGTTTTAGCCCTCCGTTGCGACTCCCAATCCAGCCTCACTAATTGCCAGTTTGCGACCATCCACTATGTCGGTTTTGCTTGCCTTTGCGGTGATTGGAATAGTCGCCGTGGCTTACCTCGTGTTCTACTTCCTTCGCCCGTTCATAACCTTCTTCCTGTTACGATTCTACCTCTCCAAACGGACAGACCTTAAAAAAGCGGGCGATTGGGCTATTGTAACTGGGGCGACAGACGGCATTGGCAAAGCGTTCGCCCACGAGTTGGCTCGGGATGGGATGAACGTCTTCCTTATAAGCAGGTCAACTGAGAAACTAACCAAGGTGGCCGACGAAATCCAGTCCCTTTTCAAAGTGGAGACCAAGATTTTCACCGCCGACTTCACTACTGTAAGTTATTTGCTGTTCCCGCCTTTGTGGCTTAGACTGCTTGCGAATGGGTAACGTCTTCATTTTTGTCACTTGACAATCTTTTAAAATTACCTCAGTAAGAAAGATGTAGAAGTAATGGCTTGTGTTGACAAGTCAGCAAGATTAACGAGGTCGATTGTGTCTGCGCTCGTGCATACTGGCACTTGTCATGACTGTGATCATGCCTGTCCTAGCCGGTGACGACGCGTAAAGATGTGCGGCAATGAAAGTGGGATGCTCGACTAGTGCTCTTGTACAGCTACGATGACCGAATACCGAGGGCTCAAGAAGCTTCCGCATGCCTTAACGGGCCGTGTTGACAACATTTTGAGTTGGCCTTTTTGACACCTCCAGGTAGTCAGGGGCGCCGGATCTAGTGCAGCAATACTGAACTCATGGGCAGATGACGAAAAACTTGCCAAAACCGCGTCAGTCGTCTGGTTTGAGAAAAATGGTGTAACTCACTTCAAGAATACTTCTTAGGCGACGATGGTTAAACACTTGGTTTTCACCCATCTCACACACAACCTAGCACTCACATGGCAGACCGAACGGATGCCCGGTTACGCGCAGATGTTTGTGGTGATTGCCGTCACGTCGGTCTATAGAAGCCTTATAAGGATTGCCAAACCCTTCGCGTAGCATTGACTTGGGAAATAGTGTCGTCCTTACGCTATTCATTTGTGGCTAATCTGACCTTCAGGTATTTCAGGCTATACTTTTCTGAGTTGACTGTCATTAATCCCTAAGAGTGCCTTTTCCTGAACAGCGATACAGCTCAAAAACACTTTAGTGTTTCAGTCGTTTGCAGGTAAGCCGACTGATTTAGACAGCTCAGCCACGCGCGATACCAAACTCTGTAGGCCATCACATTTTTGACGCAAACTACACAGTAGTGTAGTTGAGGTCAGTCAGGCGGCGTGCGGCTGATAATTCGACACTGTCAAAATCGCGTAGGATGCCTCCGAAACTCCAGTCAAGTCGTAGTCGGACGGAATGTGTGGCGGAGTGCAACCTTATCGAATGCCAGACCTAGCATCAGACTGCGGGTAGATATTGTTGTATACCAAGACCTGCGTTGTAGTTGAACGGGATTAGGCTATGATTATGCCGACACACCATCTAGACTCATTAGTCACAAGGGCTCATGGTAGACAGAATGGAATCTCGCAGCGTATAGTGCGTTACCGATCTGAAGAAATTTCGGCCGAAATTCTGAAATGCGTTTTTGATTAGGAAGGACTACCTAGGAGGGGTTACAATGCTGATTATCAAGCGACAGATCCTATAGTATTTCGGACTCGCCAGAATGTCGGCTTTTGAATGCACTTCCTTTCGACCTCCCATAGAAGCTACACTCGACAAGAAATGACTACTTATGTCGCATGTTTTTTTTTTCACATTGATCTTCGATGGTCTTATAAATCCAAATATTTTTTTATAGAAAAGCCGCACAAAAAAGGCTTTGTTTTGCTCGTTTGGTAGAAAATAGCACTGTCTTTACATTTTCTACCCGAAGAAAGCGTATATTTGGGTTTTGAAAAAGTTTCTAATGTCTACGAGACTTATGCCGCGGTAGTTCTGGCAGTTTGTCTGATCTTTTTGAGAACGGATCTAAGAATGACCAGTCTCCCGTCATTGGGAACAAGCTCATTTCCTCGCGCATGTGTCGATGACTTCGCTCTGAAAAAGCAGTCACGGGACGCTTCGTAAGATCAAGAGGGATGAAACTGCTTCAGATTATAGAGAGGACGAGGTGGTTTGGTATTCGAGCGGGCGTACGCGTCCAAACTGTCCACACCAGTGTTCAACCTTGGTCGAGTTGCCAGCAATGAAGCTGTTAATTGCATCGCGAGCAGTCACTGGACGCAGGGGCGCCACCACTAACTTAACGAGTAATTTGATGAAACCTTGGCCTCACTGACATGTGAGATCCGTTCCACGGAGGTTGCAAATCCATCCCAATAAATTTCGTGGTCATCTCTAGCCGACTTTGCCACTATTTCCAGTGTTATTGGAAAGACTCGTTGCTGAACCTGGCTCGAGCTGTGTGGATAGCCAACTGCAAGATCATTGAGCCGATCGAGTTACTACAATGCCGATGGGTGAATCTGAGAATCCTCTCGACTGCCTTGTCGACTGAGGGCTTCAAGGACAACCATTTGCCACTGCTTTCTTCGACCGGGGTTGCGATGACAGATTTGCTTCGTGTGTTCAGAGCCTCGACTGTGCTGGGTTGTCGTAGTCTTGCAGCATTAATGAGTCTTGCAAGTGAAAATTGGTAGCGGATAAGAGGTTGACTTGCAAGCGTGTGCAAATCAGAACATAGACTGCGTTTCCAGTTTTGAAACGTGATGTCGGTCTGCTATCATGCGTCCAGCTACGGTACGTTGAACTGACTAAAATGTAGTCACTCTGACTGACCTTATGAAAAGTATTTGACTAGCAGGTCAACAGATGTTTGCAGAGATACTGAAAACTTGTGTTGGTGACGATTAATCGGTTCCTGTCAGCAGATTTCAACATCCTCTTCCCATTGCTGTACCGAGGACCAGACCCAAAGCGAACAATGAGATGACTGGAGAGTTTTTTATCAGTTGCAGGTAGGTGTCTTTATGACTCTGGTCGGCAGCTGACGTTGGCGCGTGCACGAATAGGACGGGTGTTCGTAAAGGCCCCATAAGTCGTACGTAGGCCAACCGGTCATTGACTGGTTCTCACGCAAGCACTGTAATGTTCGAATGTTGCGAAAGGGAGGTTATCACACCGTTTCTAACAGAAGGATCGCTTTGACTGTCGTAAGTAGAGTTAACTCCGCTAGCCTGAGTATCAGATTCTGATTTCAAACAAGCAGCAGACATTCACGTGCTCATAAACCTTGCTCGCTGTCAGTGTCAAGGGACATTTGCACATCCCAACATCCAGTGCTAAGCGTCTGTTTCTGATTGAGTGATTCATCTCGAGTACCATTCGCCTGTACCAGTAGACAAGGGTTCCCGAAAATCTTGTAAACAAGTTGCTCCCTTGCAGCCACTCGGTCTACCCGTCTGACTTTCTCTCTTCGGGCGCTTTTGCTCAAAAGTCAGACATCAAGGCGACAATGACAAATCGGCTTATTTATTGGCGGTTCAGGGTAGCCATGCCGCAGGGCTGTCATCGGACTTTGTGGTGTCCGGTAACAGTTGATATGAACTCACCGAGTGGCCAGGGATTAGGTTAATGGGTGACCACGCCTTCCTAGTCGTGCTTACTTGGTCACTATGCGCAGTGTTTTCGGCACAACGAATATGGCGGGAACCTAAATTCCATATATCAGTTTGTCCATCTGTTATGCCCCCTTGGAAGCTGGTTCTAGCGTTCCTCTTCCCTCGCATCTGGTCTGTGCCTCATTATGCATGCCTTGTGTAGTCGCTTCTCCTCTTCCCCTTTTAGACCGACTTTTATGAAAATTTGAAGCGAAAAATTGAAGAACTGCCTTCAGTTTCCATTCTCATAAACAACGTCGGCACCTCGTACTCCCATCCAGATGCCTTGGCTACATGCGATGATCTGACTCTTGAGAAGCTTCAGAGTATGATTGTCTGCAACGTAACGTCAGTGACCTGCATGACCCGCATTGCCCTACCAAAGATGCTAAACTCGCCACCACCGGATGGCGTTCACCGCTACATTGTCAACATTGCTTCACAATCGGGTTGTTTCCCCACCCCTTATCTTTCTGTGTACGCCGGGACGAAGGCGTTTGTAGTCCACTTTACCGCCTCATTAGCTGGTGAGTTATCGGGTACCTGTGTTAAGGTGCAGACCATTTCTCCCGGCTTTGTGGCGACAGCCATGGCAGGTCTCAAGCGTCCCACTTTCTTTGCACCTGGTGCTCCCACTTTTGCGGCGTCAGCTCTGTCTATGTTGGGTGTAGCAAGCGAGACCTGTGGCTACTTTGCCCATGAGCTGTTCCTAACATTCGTTCTTGCCCTCCCCAGCTGGCTACGCTCTGTCACGTTTGCGCGACATATGCTGAAGATTCGAGACAGATACTATAAACGTCAAAAGTCGAAGAATCAATAAAACGCAACAACCGTTTCTTGCCTTCGACTACTCTCTTAGCTGTGTATACTTGCTGCTGCACATTTTTCTCGCTTGCACTGTTGATTCCATCTGTTTACCGCTTCTGATTCTTCCTTACACGGCTTGCTGTAATGTGTCCCTTCTGTGTAACTATGCGTTTAACTTTCTCAATAAATGTAGACTTTATCCTTCCGTAACCTTTTTATCGAGACCATTATGGTCATCAAAGTTATTCGAAAATTGGTGTCAAGGCGTTTTCTTTACGGATATAGGTACGAAGCTAGATAGCAAGCAAGACCCTCTAGTAGCGCCCAGTCGTCTTGTCGCAGAACAAGACGGAGACCCCAGGAAACGTATATTTATGCGCCCGCCAAGCTGGTATCTACCCGACGTCTATTCTTCAACGTCAAATGGCGGAATGGTCTGCAAAGAAGGGTGGCCACCGGACAAGCAGACTGGCGGATAGGTAATCGCGAACTGGCAGCGTGGCTGCTACCAATGCGCGTATGTCTGGTACATTTTGCCGCAAAAGTCGGCAAAGAAGAGTTTTACAGATAAAAAGTCAGGAAGGTGAGATTACTAGGACAGTCTCCTCTGCGGCAGAAGTTGTACAATCGACTGAGAGGCCGGCGACAGCAAGTGTTCTATCACGCTTCAAAGTAGCCATTGTTGTTGTTGTGTCAGTGCGAGGCGTGGGTGTGCATCCGAGCCACGCGCGGCTGCGGTCAATCATTGTAGACCAAAATACCGTCGCCAAACTGAGAAGCGGCGCAAGCAGACAACTGGCAGGGAGGTTCGGCCGCCATCTCTGCACGACGATCAAACTGCCGCATCCGCATTAACCAGTAAAATACTGCAAATCCGGCGGAACACTGAAATGGCAATGAGAAGCCGTCACTCACCGGACCCTCTTGCACTGACTGCTAACTGGTACTTTGAGTTTTCGAGTATGGAATAACCTTTGCGAGCGGACTCGGAAGGGTCTGCTGGTTGCCGAAGATCTGAGTAACCAAATTGATTATTCTCATTAAGACCTGGGTGGAGAAGCAATGAGTTAGCACCAAGGCCGAAGGTTGGCGGTGCGTTTCATCGTTTCATCGAGTCGCCAAATCTGTGCTTTCGTCTTTCTCAGAGTGTACCTGTTACCAAGCGGAGCGATTTAGGGGATTCACCAGCATCCGCGTTTTACCAAATCTTTGGGCCTCAAATCCGTCCACATTTCTGGCTAAAGCCTGTGAGAGAAGGTTACTGTATTCTGGATTTATTTCTACTGAGCATTTAGCTGGCATATAGGCGTGATTTAACCGTGTTTTAACGATTAAATGCCCTGCTCTCATCCTCATGCCAAAGCATGTAACGTAGTATGCAGTCTTGTTCAACCACTTGAAGGCGCCGACAGGGAGTGACGCTGTGCCACCATTGCCGCTGTCTCAGCTGGTTGACGAATTCGTTACCATCGCAGATTTATCGAAAGTCTCCGGTGCGCCACTGCTGTGATAAGTAAAAGAGCATGCTATAAGTAGAACATTTAGTGGAAGTAGTGTGCGATCAATCCAATGGTCTGTGGTGGACACATAGTAAAACTACCTGATTGTAGAGATGACATGATGTGGGCGTTGGACTTTGCACAGGCAGTCTGTTGAGAGTGCCTTTCGAAAGTATCTGAACTCTCTTGACTGAGCTCTTGCCACAGGAGATCGGGCATATCAAGGGCACATTCATAAGTCAATAAGAAGAAACGAGTGTTATCAAACAAAATGTTCTGTGCGTCTTTTGTGAAGCGAGGCATATAGATTCTACCGCGTGGGCAGTAGCGGGGGGCAACTCGGTAATATGCTCACCGGCGATGGCCTTTGTGAGGGTTCTGACGAAATTGACGATGTAGGCGTTTGCAGAGACATTAAGTCGAGTTTTTTTGTTATTTGGGTCCAAAGATGTCGATGGGTGCGCTGAATGTCCGTTGACAACAGGGACTTGAAACTTGCGAGCCGCTTTTTGACTTTGGCAACGGCTATCCGACTGACTTCGTGGATTGTCGGTTCAGTCTTCACTGTCCCTCTACAGACCACTCGATCCTGGACAAGGTTCTCTCAGGTCTCTGGACTCATTTGTAGCTCCTCGAGGGAGGTCTGCAGGGCGTCTTTGTAGCGTTACTTTTGTCCACCCTACCGGCGAGCGCGCATAGTAACATCGCCGTAGAATGGTCATTTGGGTGGGCGCACGTCATCCATCCTCGTGAGGTCTCCCCTCCAGCTCAGTTGAAGTCGTTTCGGCATGACTTGGATGCTGTGGACTCCAATCTTCCCCAGGACCTCCGTGTCCGGTATTCTGCCCTATCATCTCAGCTCTTATATTCGCCGGGAAAGCTGGGGTGGAAATGTTTGAGTTCCCTGGCTTGATTAGCCTAGAAAGTCCATGTCTCTCCCTTGTGCAGGACATCCTCGTTATGACTACTGTCCCTTACATTTTGAGCTCCGTGTTGTGAGGTGATGTTCGAAGTCTGCAGCCAGCCGTAGGCCTAGCTGGTTTTGTAAGTCTGATTTGCAACTTCATCGTCGATTTTGACGTTTTGTGAGAGTGTACTGACTAAATACGCACATTCGTCCACTGCTTCGAGTTGAGTGCCGCTGACACTGATGCAAGGATCTATGCAGCCGGAGTTCGGCGTCGGCCTGTGCGTGACCACCGTTTTATCCGTGCTTATGGTCAGACCGAAGTATGCACAGCCAGCAGCGAAGAGGTCCATGCGCCGTCACATATCCGCTTCTGTCGCGTTGTTGAGCCCGTAGTCATCCTCGAAGGGCAGGTCGTGTACAGTGGTTGTGGAGCGAGGCGTTGGGCCTACACGTGCCACCTACTTAGAACGCAGGGCATGTTCCCGTACTGTCTAGACATCACGCCCCATGCGTGCGGCAGGCGAACGACCAAGGTCACGTACGCGCATTCAGACCTTTGTGATGACTGGCCGCTCTTCGGCCCATGACACTCCTCCATGCCGTATATTCCGTTGTATCTACAAGACTCACCACTTTGACTGTCTTTAGTTCTCGGTAAGCATAACAGAGAAGATGGCTGTCCGTCTTGTAGGCAATGTTGATGCCTGAGAGCTCTTTACGGTAGGCGCCCATCAGCATGGTGAAGTACATGGCACTGGAGAGGGTGGGATGGAGTAAGCAAGCCTGCTTCACCCCATTGGTAACAGCGAATGCTTTTCAGATCGCCCCGTTGTTCGTGACGCGCGCCATCAGCCTGTCATGAAGCTGACATACCGTCATAGCGAATCGTTCAGTCTCCCACGATTCACCGTGTCGAAGGTCTTCGACAGTTTCATGAAGGTGGTGTAAAAGCTGGTCTGCAGTTCTCGACACTTCTCCTACAGTTGGCGGCCGAGGAAGAGTACGTTGGTGGTTCTGTGGTTTCGACAGCAGTCTCAGGGAGAAGTCTTTACTCCAGCTGTGTGTTCAGGTGGTCAAGGGGGAAGTGCGCGAAGATTGCCCGTGCAATATTGAGGAGGGAACTACCTCTGTGATTGTCATAGGGTTGCCGCCTCCCCTTTCACTTATAGAGATTGATTATTGTCGCGTATTTGAAAACCTGAGGGACTTGTCCATTTCGCCATATCTCACGGAAGGGAGGGGATTTTGTCTATCAGTCGAGGGTCGCCGTACTAGTACCTGGTGATTTGCCGCAGGACACCCGGCGTACAGCCAGGATAGTTTTGTGCAACGAGGTAGGACAGTACAGGTTAACGTTAGGCGCCACGTGGGAAAGCCGGTCGATGGCTGCGTCGGAGACTATGCACGGCCGATTAGAAACGTGTCAGAAGGTGGAAGAAACCTTTACTGAAGAGAAGACGGTGTTCTGGGCAGGTTGGTAGAAGTATAGGGCGTATATCTTCGCAGTAGCCGTTCCCGGAGAACCCCAGCACTCCCTCCTAGGCGGTGGGGTCGGTCACAACGCAGACATTGAGATCACCAAGAACAATCGACGCGTCTACCTTCGGCACAGTCTCCAGGAGGGCTTGCAGGTCTTTGTACAACTTGTTTTTCACCTCGTTAGAGCTGCCTATTTAGAAACGTAGACGCTGAGGACGGTAGCAAATTCGGTTTCCCAGGGTGACAAGCGCAGGGAAATGAGACGGTTGTTGATTTCTTGCGACAGTCGTCCCACGATGTCATTCCGGATGACTAAGGCGACGTCAGCGTTGCGTCGCTTCGTATTTAGGTGTCAGCCCCGCAGAAGAATGTGTAGCTGTTTCCTACCTCCCCCAGCCGACTCTGCTCAGAGAATCGAGTCTCGTTGAAAGCAGCTATTTCCATTTTGTGTCCCGCTAGTTATAAAACTACCTGCGCCCTCCTCGTTAGTTGCTTAGCAAGTTGTCTAAGATTGGGCGTAAAGTTCAGCTGCCAAATGAGCAGGGTAACTCAAGCAGCTCGTACGGTTGGATGGGTGGAAGGAGAGGGGAGATTTGGTTTTGTATTGTGTTTTGACCACGAGTTTTGCGTCTACAAACCACGGCCAGCTTGTAAACTGCGTGACTATTCAGCCCATCCCTGTGCGTGAGGGAGACTAGTGCTGTCCCTAAATAGGACGACTGAAGCATCCCAAGCGTCTGTCCAATTCCAATATGGATCATACCCCTGTTTAATGGGAGAACAACCCGAATTAACTTGGGCGGCCTACGGGATTGGATGTCGCCGTTGGACATTTTGAAGTGAAAGGTGGGAGGGGAGAGTGGGAGGGGTAGCAGGGTGACCGAGTGTAGGGGGAAAACACGGCACCAGATACCCTCATCGGGTTTAACCCGGTGGCCGAGGAGGTGACCGGGGTAAGGCTATTAGGCACAACCTAGCCTTGGAGAGCCACAGGTCAGTGTTGGGTGCCAGCTAAGGGCCATGCGAAGTGACCACCACCTGAACAAGTTACATGGTGGACGAGTAGTGAGTATCTCCGCCTGACACCTCATCCTGCCTACCCACCCGCACACCTGAGCTACGTATGAACCTACTCAACAACGCGCACATACACGCCACCACTGTAATACTGGGCCTCTCCCCCTCTCCCTTTTGCAACAAATATGCGGTCCACTTTGCAGTCGCGGACATGGCGCATGGAACGTTGCATGTAAGAACATGCACCTACCACCTGTGTGGAGTGAGGACCGGGCAAGCATAGACGAACTGTCTGGACTTGTCAATCATTGTACTCAGTCTCACCACTAGTTGTCTGACAGGCTCGGGCAGTCGACTGGCGTGCGGCCGACACTGCGACCTCCGTCCCTCACTGCACTTACTTGATTCTCTCGCCACACATCAGGATTTCCGTGTCAGAAATGGCCTCACATAGTCTGTCTGGGCACTTACATATATCTTTTAGAACCTTGCAAAGTGAGCGTTAAGAGTTGACATTATTGCAACTATTAGTATTACCGCTGCCGCTAATACTACATCGGCGCTGCTGCGACTGCAAAAACATCTCTACCATAACCACCACTTCCATTGCTAATTATAATTCGGTTAGGACTACTATCAGAGCTGGCAATACTACTTAGTCCACCATAGAACATTACCGACAGTATCGTCGCGCTGACACTGATACTCCTACCGATTTTACTGTTGATTTTTGCATAACCAGCATCACTGCTGCCACCACTACTTTTGTTGCTGACAAGCTTGCCAACATTACTACTGCCTTAGAGCGTATATCAGTAAGGTGGTTTGGCAGTACTCGCTCAGTGCAGCCGCCAGTCGGTCATGTGGCAGAAGACCACCGGGTAAGATGTGGTTATGTAGCTCCACCTGATGGGCAAAATACTGTTGGCGTTGGTGTTAGGGGTTAGGGTTAGTGGTTAGCATCGGGAGTTATGGTTAGGGGGTTAGTGTTGGGGTTAGGGTTATGGGTCAAGGCCAGGGGTAGGGTTGGGGTTAAGGGAACTATTTCTCAACCACTCAAAGTACAACCGCGCATTCCCGATAGCTTTTCTTTTATTTACGACTGCTTGACCTCGTCGATTGTGCGGTTCCCGGCTCCACCTGTAAAAACCCCTATTACCACCGGTTCCGTATTACAGGTGGCTGGGGTTTGTTTACTTCAGGTGGGGCTATATAACTACATCTGACCGACCACTGCTCATTGTTTAACCTCCTGTCATTGACTGTGGGTAGAATTAAACCGCTGACGCCTGTTTGCAGAGATGACACGGTAATTCGGAAGCCGGAGTACGTGGAGGACATCTGGCAAGAGTCTGTCCCGAAAGCAAGTATATAAAAAGAGCATTTCTTGCCCAACCGGAAGAAACAATGGGCATTGAACAAAACCCTATAGTTGTTTTTAAAACAAGGTTTCTAGCTTCTACGGGATAATCTTTCGACATCCCTGCGGATTAATCACTCGCGTATCGGTAAGTTTTACTAACGAGAAAAGAGCTACCCAAATGACCATTTCTGGCCAATTTGCCATCATCAGACGTAGTATCGCAAATCCACTCTGTCGTGACCCTGCAGAATTTTACTTGCCCAGACCGTGCATTACAGGATACTGACGATCTCAGCGTGTTGTGATTGTGCACAAAAGCAGCTGTGGAAATGCAACACAGCCATTGAAAGTCGTCCTCGCGCGTAAGAGACACAGGGTGGCATTATTTCTTGGAAGGGATAAACAACCACTGCACACCTTCCGCAGCGTCGGATATTAATGTCGATAAAGCTATCAGCAGCAGTTGCAAGAAAGCGTGGGGAACAACAGAGGCCCTAAACACATTCTTTTGGTCCGCCGTACATAGAAACCAGGCCCTGCTGTAAATGCTCCCACGGATGCTATGTATGAGGATAAGTTATCCGGCGGCGGAAATCTTCCTCGGTGGTACTGTGAAATTAAAAGCGACCTTAGAAAGGGCGTTCACGACTCATGTTTCGGGATATATCCACCCACTGCGGTTTGGGACTCAGTCTCGAGCCCCTGCCCGCAGACACCAACAAAACTGCCAATAGTGGCGCAGGATGAAGTCCTGACAAGTCAGCATGTCCCGCAAACTGATCAATAAACGTCCTTTCAATGGTAGTTACTATTTCGGACCGCAACTGACATCACAACGAACTTGTGGCTCAATGATGGAGCTTTGGACTTAGAAAAAGTCCAGTGTTCGAAGAACCCAGGTCCAAATATCAGGTCAGCCAGATCCGAAGCTGGATATGACCGACTGATGGCTGCCAGTGAACCAGAAATGGCCATCCCAGTGTCCTTCCAATTTCACTCAAAAACTCCGACACTCCCAAACTGCCTGCTTATCAGTCGCACTCTGCCGTCAGAACTCCATTCCAGACACAGCGCTGTTGTTGTCCACCGCACGACACTCCCCTGATTTATCTTGCTGGTATTCAGGATCCCTGGCCCGCAAGTGCATCCCCCTTGCGTGCAACATTTGTTCACACTCTTCCTGTTTTCTGTTTCTGTATAACTTGTCTACTTTCCCATCACTGGTACAACTTGTGCAGTTCGTGGCCTAACTCATGAAAAGTGTCGAAATTTGCGAATGATTGATAATCACTCGTAAACCGGCACCAATGTGTCGACCCAGTGTCTATCTAACTAAATAACAATTTTGAGGGATTCGAAAGACAATTTGGCAAGCATACGTAAGCCTTCGATAAATTCTCATCAGGCCTATACATTTATATTGCTATCGAAGTGATTAAAAAAAATACCCCTGACATTGACGGCAATTTTGTTTTTCACCTCATCCACCCAGACCCTCCCCCAAACCCCAGCTACAGAAAAACTTCTGCTTGTCTTCATTTTCTTTTTAATCACTTTGATTGCAATATAAATGCATAGGCCTGATGAGAATTTATTGAAAGCTTACGCAAGCTCGCCAAATGGTCTTTTGAATTCTTCAATGGGAATTTTCTCAACCCGAAAACAATTTTGAAGGAATTAAAAAACATAAAAGATTTGTTAAAGGAAACGTTACGTTGTTTAAAAATACTAATTTTTTCAGAAATTCGGAAAATCCCTGAGACGTCAAAAATGGTTGAGATCCCGTAAACGTCTATTCATATATGTAGAAAGCCCGTCTGTGCAAAACACTAAGTAAATATGACAGCACAAACAGAACAACCATTAAAAATAACCTTTTAATGAGTTTTTCATTTAAAAATCCTTTAAGAATTAGCGTAATTTCAGGTATGGGGCTTTGCCAACAGCCTACATTCTGAGTATAAGCTTCAAAACGGTTTTCCGTGGTACTTACGATTTCGAACTGACTGGGATGCGGCTCGGTACGGCAAACAGGATCTTGTTTGACTTCGACGATAAGGACTTCATAGGAACAAAAGTTTTCGCAGTCGTACATGTTTCCAGGCTGGTCGGTAACTAAAAAATTTTAATAGAATTGACAGATGTAGTCGTAAACATACCATTTTGTGTGTATAAATTGGCTTTATTCCGTGAAATTAATGTGCACTTAAATGTGCTCTGCTTTACGTGGAGTTTTTAGAGCGGCCTGAAATATCGTTGAATAATTCATGATTTTCAGTGGTTTCGGTCGGTTTCCCACAAAGACAGATTTTATATTATGCGTTTGTTAAAACGTTTAAAATAAGCTGTTCGTGTGGATAAGGTTATAAGCAGGCTTAAATATTGCATGTAGCGAAATCACGAAAAGATATCACATTGGACGTTGATGGTAACACACACGGCGCAACTTGGCGCACTGAGCTAAACAGGGTAGTGGGACACGGATCATTTTCATCAAGCAAGGAGGAAGAAGAGATGAACAGACCTTAATTGCATATTAGGAAAAAGGAAAACAGTATATAAGAAAATTCTAAACGGTACACAGAGGGATGTGTTAAAACGAAGGGACGATCCGGCTGGATGGGAAAGTAAAGCCAAAATGTC